AACTGTATAATACCTTGAGAAAAGAAATTGAAGAAGGGGCTGGGAAGGTGGCTCAGTGGTAGAGTGCTTGCCTTGCATGCTTGAGGCCCTGGGTTCGATTCCCCAGCACCACATAAGCAAAAAGAAAAAAGCCGGAAGTGGTGCTGTGGTTCAAGTGGTAGAGCGCTAGCCTTGAGCTGAAGAGCTGAGGGACAGCGCCCAGGCCCAGAGTTCAGGCCCCATGACCGGACCCCCCCACCCCCCCGAAAAAAAGAAATTGAAGAAGACATCAGAGGATGGAAAGACCTCATGTGATCATGGACTGGACAAATTAGTATCATGAAAATGGCCATACTGCCAAAGAAATCTACAGCTTCAATGTAATACCCATTAAAATCCCAATGTCATTCCTCACAGAATTAGAGAAATCAATCCATAAATATGGAGGCATAAAGGACCCTAAATAGCATAAGTAATTCTAATTGAAAACAAAAACAAAAATAAGTCAAAACAAAAAAAAAACACTGCTGGAGTTATCACAATACCAGACTTCAAATTATATTACAGAGCCATAGTAGCAAAAACATAGTAGCTTGGTACTGGCACAACAACAGACCTGAAGATCAATAGAGCAATGAAAAAGACCTAGAAATAATGTTTGACAACGGAGCTAAAAGCATACAAGGGAGAAAATACAGCCTCTTGAACAAATGGTTCTGGGGAAATTGGGTCTCTGCAGGAAACTGGACCTCAATTTCTCACACTGTACAAAAATCAACTCCAGTTGGATCAAAGAGCTCAAAGTAGGATTGCAAACTTTAAGTCTATGACAGGAAAGCGTAGGAAAAACTCTGGTAGCATAGATAAATATCTTCTGTATATCTGTTTCTAGCTCCAGAAACCCAGAGGATGGGAGCATGAATCGACAAATAGGACTACATCAAATTAAAGCGTTTACACCACAAAAGAAATAGTCACCAGGACCAAGGGACAATCCACAGAATGGAGAAAGTCTTCTCTACTATCCCACAGATAAAGGATTGATATCCAAAATACACTGAAAATTTTTTTTTAAATGACATAAGAAAACAAATAATCCAACTAATAAATTAGGCAGGTGAACTGGGTAGATATTCTCACAAGAAGAGATACAAATAGCTAATAGATACAGGAAAAAATGTTCAACATCCTTAGCCATAAGGAAATATAAATCAAAATCACATTAAGATTCTATGTTACCCCAGTCAGTATGGCAGCCATCAAGGAAACAAGCAACAATAAATGTTGGTAAGGACATGGAAGAACCCTCATACACTGTTGGTGGGAATGTAAACTAGTAAAACCACTATGAAAATCAGTGTGAAGCTTCCTCAAAAAACTAAAAATAGACCCTCCCTATAGCTCTACCACTATTGGACCATATATCCACAGGAGAGTAATATACCAGAAAGACATCTACATAACTATGTTTACTGTAGCACTATTCACAGTAGCCAAATGATGCAATCAACCAAAGTACCTATAAAGAAGATAGTTGTGTGTGTGTGTGTGTGTGTGTGTGTGTGTGTGTATGAATATTACATGGCCATAAAGAAAATTTAAATGTCATTTGCAGAAAATGGGTGCAGTTGGAAGACATCAGATTGAAACAAGTCAAGCTCAAAAAGCAAAATATTTTGTTGGACTGTGAGCCCCTCTAAGGCTAATTCCCCCCTAATTCTCTCATAATTCTCAGTTAATACATTTGTATACACTACATACAACCCTGAAGTGTTTACTTATGCACTGTAAAATACTTTTAGTTTCTACATATGAGAGAAAACATGTATCCTTTGTCTTTCTTGGTGTGACTTACTTCACTTAACATTTTTTTTTCTAGGTCCTTCCATTTATTTGCAAATGATGTAACATCGTTCTTTCTAATGGATGAGTAAAATACCACAATTTCTTGATCCATTTGTCCACTGAAAGGCATCTGGGCTGATTCCATACCCACATCCCAGCACCCAGTAGTATGGAGCAGAGCTTTGGGTATTCCAACTTTCCATAACTCTCTGGGTATTGTTCCTGAAACCTGGCTTCACTGTCTACAGTATTCACCTCTGCTGCAGAAGGCACAAATAGAAGAGCACAGGATAAAGACTTAGAATAGCCAAAACAATTCTAGGGAATAAAGACAACATGGGAGGGATATCCATGCCGAACTTCAAACTCTACTACAGAGCTATAATAACAAAGACAGCATGGTACTGGCACAAAAACAGACCCGAAGACCAATGGAACAGAATAGAAGATCCAGAAATAAATCCACAGGCCTACAGCCAGCTGATATTCGACAAAGGAGCCAAAGACATACAATGGAAGAAACACAGCCTCTTCAACCACTGGTGCTGGGAAAACTGGGCGGCCACATGCAGAAAACTAAAAGTGGACCCCAGCCTATCACCATACACCAACATCAACTTAAAATGGATTAAAGACCTTAACATTAAACCTGAATCTCTGAGAGACACTTGAACTAATAGGCACAGGAAGGAACTTCCTGAACAGAGTCCTAGGGTCACAACAAATTGGAAAGAGACTCGACAAATGGGACTACCTTAAAATAAAAAGCTTCTGCACAGCTAAATCTATCGCAACCAAGCTAGAAAGACAACCAACTAATTGGGAAAAAAATATTTACCAGCAATATATCAGACAAGGAGTTAACATCCTGTATATACAGGGAACTCAAGAAACTAATCCCTCCCAAACCTAACAAACCAATTACTAAATGGGCAAGGGAACTAAAGAGGGACTTCTCAGATGAAGAAATAAAAATGGCAAAGAAACACATGAGGAAATGTTCATCATCCCTGGTGGTGAAGGAAATGCAAATAAAGACAACCCTGAGATACCACCTTACCCCAGTCAGAATGTCCCACATCCACAAATCAGCCAACGACAAATGCTGGAGGGGATGTGGAGAAAGAGGAACCCTATTACACTGCTGGTGGGAATGTACACTTATACAACCATTTTGGAAAGCAGTCTGGAGGGTCCTTAGAAAGCTAAAGATTGACCTCCCTTACGACCCAGTCATACCACTTCTAGGCATCTACCCTGAACAACAGGAACTAATATACAAGGACACGTGCACCTCCATGTTTATTGCAGCACTGTTCACAATAGCTAGGATATGGAAACAACCCAGATGCCCCACCACAGATGAATGGATCCAAAAATTGTGGTATCTATACACAATGGAATATTATGCAGCCATTAGAAATGACAAAATAATGGCATTTGAAGGGAAATGGATGGAGCTAGAAGGAATCATGTTGAGTGAGGTAAGCCAAGAGCAAAGAGACAAACGGTACATGGTCTCCCTGATAAGTGGATGTTAAATCCAAAATGTTAGGTGATACGACAAAATTAACAGGACTTAAGAAACAAAGAACTCTCACTCATCTGGTCGAACCACTACTAAATATGCCCATGCTGCTGATCACATGTATGGTGTATATGTGTACACCGTTATATGTTATAGACTGTGATAGACAATTTGCTCCAGGAAAGTTAGAATCAACTTGTGACTTTAAATGAGCATCATTATTCCACAATTTGGGAAATTATGTAATCACTTAATCACAATTTAAAAAAAAAAAGAGAACCTGGGGAAGGTAGGGAGGGAAGGGATGGTAGGGGGAAAACAATGGAGGGGGTAACAATGCTCAATAGGAAGTGTATTCATTACCTTGCTCGTGTAACTGTAACCCTCTGTATAGTATCTTTACAATAAAAAAATTAAAAAAAAGAAGAGCACAGGATTTAAAAACTTAGTACAACCAGGTGCTAGTAGTTCATACCTGTAATCCTATCTATTCAAGAGACTGAGATCTAAAGAGCACAGTTCAAAGCCAGCCAGGACAGAAAAGTTCATGAGTCTCTTACCTCCAATTAAGCACCCAAAAAAGCCAGAAGTGGAGCTTTGGTTTAAGTGATAGAGTGCTAGCCTTGAGCAAAAAAAACAAACAAACAAAAACCTCTCAAGGACAGCCCCTCTGCCCCCACTCCCTGAGTTCAAACCCCAGGACTGTCACAAAAAATTAAAATGAAAAAACAAAACAAAATACTTAACTACCAAAAAAAAAAAAAAAAAAAAGCCAGGCGCCAGTGGCTTAGGCCTGTAATCCTAGGAAGTTGACATTTTAGGATCTAAGTTCAAAGTCTTCTTAGGCAGGAAAGTCCATCAGATGGTTGTCTTCAATTAACCACCAAAAAAACCAGAAGTAGAGGTGTGGACCAAGTGGTAGAGTGCCAGCCTTGAGCAAAAAATCTGAGATACTGCCCAGAACCTGAGTTCAAGCTCCAATACCAGAAAAACAAAGTCAGCCTTACTAAAAAAAATATAGAATACATATAAAATACATGCAGGTGGCTTATGTGTAAAAGGATCTAGGATGAGACAAGGCCTCTTCTTTTCTAACTCAATATTAATTGAATAAATAATCTCTTGGGATACATAATTCAAGCAAGCGTTAGTATTTTTTTCTTACCATGGATACTCAAATCATCTTTACAACAAAACACACATGACAGGCTAAAAACTAAACAGAGTTCCATGGGTTCTGAATAGTGTAAAAACAAAATTGCATTAAAATGTTTCTTTTAGGAGCTGAGTTTTAAATGCCTTTCACCAAAAGCAATAAATAAAGTAAGAAACACCAAAATGTAGGACCCTGAAATAACTGTGACATCAATCATTACAACTGAACAGGAATAATCCCCAATGAACTCCAAGTCTAAATTCTGCCATTAGCATTTTCATGTAAAACTTGGACTGCAATTGGTAAAATCGATGTGAACAAAGCCAAGAAAAAAAGTTGCCTTAAAAAGTTGCCTTTGTAGTTATCATCTGAAAAAGTGTTTATTTTTATATTTCTTTAGAAGCCTAGCAATTTTTGTGTGTGTCTGTGGCTTGAACTCAGGACTTCATTCTCTTGCTTACCTTCGAAGTATGAATTGTCTATTTTACTTACCCTTTGGATACCAGAGGAGCGCGTAAGTTTTCATCCACAGGAGTCAGTGACATATGCTGGTTAACAACGTCTAAATACTTCTCAATATGAATCTGTTAATGAAAGTCAAAGTTTAGGCCATTATGGTTGGACTTAAGATACTCAGCTAATTTGTTTCTTTAGATTAACACTCTGAATCATGTAATTAAGCAAAAACAAAAATATAAACAACCCACATGCCTAAGGCCAAATTATTTCAACTCTCCCCAAAAGCATAATAAATGACAAAGACTTAAAGTGTTAATCACCTGTAGTGCTCTTCACAAATAAAACTGCAAATAATGGTCAAGCTATGGATTAACCAGATCAAATCTCCCAGGAATGACAGACGTGTAGCCATGTACTTGCAGTCATTTGATCCTTATTTTATTTCTTTTGTGCTGGTCCTGAAGCTTCAACTCAGAACCTGGGCACAGTCCCTTCGCTTTTTCATTCAAGGCTGGCACTCTACCACTTGATCCACAGCTCCACTTCCAGAATTTCACTTATTTATTGAAGATAAGAGTCTCACAAACTCTTTTGCTTGAGCTGGCTTTTAATTAGGAAATGAGGATATCTCAGTTTCCAGAGTAGCTAGGATTATAGGCGTGAGTGGTTTACCCTGCATCATTTGACCTTTAGATTAAAATGGCCAACTCAGATATTCCAGATAAGTCTAGCCTTCAGGTAACATTCAGGTAACACAGGACAATGACATGCTAGTCTGGTGAGACTAAAAATACTCCTCGTTTCTCACAGCCTCAGGAGATGAACAATGAAGCTGATTACACAGCAGAGTGCAGATCTAAAGCCAAAGCAGACATACTGAAAATTTAAGCGTCAAAGTATAGACGATCGAAATGAGCCTTATTTGAAGATGAGCCCCATTAGCTAATACCTACTAGTTTCATAAATGAATATTATCATTGCCTGAAGTCTGAATTCTTCTCTGTCTTTAGGTCTGCTTGTAATGACGTGAAGTTTCTAACTACTTTATCTAACTCCAGATTTGAAATACTTTCACCTGCTTGATTCTAGTACTATAAGAAAGAAAAAGAAACAGAAAAAAAAGAAAGTGTTGAAAAAAACACAAATAGCTCAGAATACTTAAGCTATTAAGAAAAGTCAACTCTCTTATTTTTTAGAATCGCCATAGCTCTCAGTAGATCTAGATTACTTTGGTAATCTTTATTACTTTTGGTAAGCTTTATTGGGAACTGGGCGCTGGTGGCTCAAGCCTGTAATCCTAGCTACTCAAGAGGCTGAGATCCGTGGATCTCGGTTCAAAGCCAGCCTGGGCAGGAATGTCCATGAGACTCTTATCTCCAATAAACCACTCTCAAAACCGGAAGTGGTGCTGTAGCTCAAGTGGTAGAGCGCACACCTCGAACTAAAGAGCTAAAGAACAGCACCCAGGCCCAGAGTTCAAGCCCCATGACCAACAACAACAACAACAAAGGCTTTATTGGGGATGTCAGGCATATTGTTGGATTCACAGAAACTATATTTCAAACTCTTAAAATTCTATTTAATGGTCTGGGAAGGTGGCTCAGTGGTAGAGCGCTTGCCTTACATGCATGAGGCCCTGGGTTCAATTCCTCAGCACCACATAAGCGAAAAGGAAAAAAAGCCAGAAGTGGCGCTGTGGCTCAAGTGGTAGAGTGCTAGCCTTGAGGTGAAGAGCTGAGGGACAGCGCCCAGGCCCAGAGTTCAGGCCCCACGACCGGACCACGCCCCCCCCCCCCAAAAAATTCTATTTACTGAAACCACATGTCACAAGTGCCACTGCAGAATCTTGCATTTATTCTCTTTAAATTTTTTTGTGGAATATATATGGTATATAACATGTGAACACCGTTATATGTTACAGACTGTGATAGACAATTTGCTCCAGGAAAGTTAGAATGAACTTTTTTAAATGAGCATCATTATTCCACAATACTGTGAAATTCCGGAAATTATGTAATCACTTAATCACAATCAAAAAAAAAAAAAAAGAACCTCGGGGAAGGGAGGGAGGGAGGGGATGGTAGGGGGAAAACTATGGAGGGGGTAACAATTGTCAAGAGGAAGTGTACTCATTACCTCACACATGTAACTGTAACCCTCTGTATAGTATCTTTACAATAAAAAAAAAATTTTGTGGAATAAAATGTGTAAATCAGTCAGTTTATAGCAGTCATTACCATATAAAAAAAACTAAAGGAATTTCAATTCTAAACTCACCTCTACTACAGAATGATTTAGCTCCTATGAAAATCACAAGTTGTTTGTTCTAAAGGTTTCATTGTTGTTTTCTGGTATTTTACTTATTATCTCAAATTCTACTTACTTTTAACCCTTTTTCAGTCCTTCTGATGGCTGTTTCAAGATTTTGAATGTCTAGAGCCTGTATTTTTTCATCAATTGGGTATTTTGTTATTTTTTCCTTTAATTGATGGAGATCTTCATGGATCTATACAAAAATACAAAATATTGTCAGAACACATCTATAGCAGTTATTTATTTTACAAATCTGCAATATGCTTGGGTTCCTAGAGTCATGAAGATGATTCTGTGGTATTCACTGAAAAAGATCACCTCAGGGATTCTAGGACAGTCTTTGTTCTAAATATTCCATAATTCTTTCTCAGATTTTGAAGAAACAAGCTTTTATACAATTTCCCCTACTATTAGAAATAGAGGATAAAACTACAACTGAAATGGCTTCTGAAATCTCAAAGCAGTTGAGCCTGAAATAATAAATTTGTACTAGACTTTAAGTTCTACAGATTGGTTAAGGTAACAAAATGGAAAACTTCCAGCAAGAAAGGTTGAGTAGAATCTAGCTTTTCAAAATAATATTAGGGCTACATGCAGTAGCTCACAGTAATAATTCTACCTACTGATTAGACTGAGATTTGAGTATCCCAGCTGCCCCATGTCAAGACTTTTTTTATTGGGGGGGGGGAAGCAGGGAGTCAGTTGTGGGGCTTGAACTCTGGACCTGGGTGCTGTCCTGAGCTCTTCAACTCAAGGCCAGTGCTCTACCACTTGAACCACAGGGTCACTTCCGGTTTTCTGGTAGTTTATTGAAGAGTCCCACAGATTTTCCTGCCCAGGCTGGCTTTGAATGGCAATCCTCAGATCTCAGCCTCCTTAGTAGCTAGGATTACAGGTGTGAGCCACTGGCACCTGGCTTTTGTGAGACTCTTATTTCCAGTTAAACCACAACCACAAGCATAACAACAAATGTCAGAAACAAAGCTGTGGCTGAAGTGGTGGGACACTAGCTTTGAGCAAAAAAGCTAAGAAGCACCTCCTAGAACCTGAGTTCAAACCCTAGTGCCAGCAGCACACACACACACACACACACACACACACACACACACACACACACACACACACACAGAGTACTACCAGGACATGCTGGTTTTCTGTCCTTGATTGTCTCATTCAACTGAGCTAAAGAAGAAGCTCTGAAGGTATGGCTTTGATTTTATTTCATGTAATGAGCAATGAAAACAATCCATGAAGGAGTAACAATATAGTATTAGTTGAACATTTTCCTTCAATGCATATTTTCCTTGGAAATGCTAAACTTCACTCCAATCTCAGGCACTCTGAGAATCCAATGGGCACTATGAAACTACCAGGAACAAGATTTTCATGCTAGCAACCAAACTTCAGATAAATACAGATGGCACCAATTATTGTATGGGCTGCTGCCACAAGAAAAACATTTTGTTATGCAAATCTATGAACCCAACACCTGTTTCAGCAATAGTCACACCAATAACAATCTGCAGGCTGGGTTGCTACAGGCATTTTGAAATGGGTACCTTTTCTCTGTTAGTATAACTGGACTCACATATTGATCCCAGCCCATGTTATTGATTACTAAGGGATATTCCCACAGAGTCAAGCACTGTATTCAAAAGATAAGAATTTGCATCTTTTCACTGATGGGCAACATAGTCTGGCAGATACATCTGGCCATTTGCACACAACACAAATTGTCATGTAAAGCCTTCGGGGCTCACAGATTGGTGTCTGAAGATACCTACTATTTCTTTGTAAAACTAAGAATGAATATATGCTTCTTTCGATTGATTTGTCCAAATTATTGCTACAAATGGATTTACTGTCTATTGTTTGAAAACAATACAATAGACAGTTGAAGGCCCCTACTCTTTGGGTAGGGGTTCTTTCCTCTAAACTTATTTTCTTTCTAGTATTTGCAGCTCTATATCTTCCTGCAGTTATGCCTATTACTGCCCAAGGGAGTAAAACTGAACTGGATTACTCACCAAGGTGTCAAAAGTTGTTTTTTTTTTCTGTATGTCTTCTGCAAATAACAAGAGTTTCAAAATCATATGAAATAGGCCTTACTGTTACATAACAAGAACTTTATAAAATCTACCGGAATGGAAAGGGAGCTGTGGCTCAAATAGAGTGCTGGCCTTGAGCAAGGAGGCTAAAGAGGAACACCTTGGCCCTGAGTTAAAACCCCAGTACCCACACAAATAAAAGAAAATAAAATCTGCTGAAAAATAATTCTTAGCTCTAACACTAGTCAAATGATTTTTGTATGTATCAGCTACATTTTTTGAACTCTAGTTTTTAGGGTTATTTGTGTGTGTGTGTGTGTGTGTGTGTGTGTGTGTGTGTGTGCATGCATGCACACACTCACAGGTAAAGGAACATTGAATTCTGGGCCTCATTCTATAGCTTAGCTTTTGCACTCAAGACTAGCACTCTACCACTTGAGCCACACCTCTATTTCCAGCTTTTTTATGGTTAATTGAAGATCAGAGTCTAGAAGATTTATCTGCCTCTGCTGGTTTTGAACTATGATCCTCAGATCTCAACCTCCTGAGTAGCTAAGATTATAGGCATGAGCCACCAGTGCCTGGATCTAGTTTCTCTGGAGAGAGAAAGAGGGAGGGGGGGAGGGGAGAGAAAAGGAGGGAGGGAAGGAGGAGAGAGGGAGAGAGAAAGAGGGAGAATAATTGCTCTACTCCTTAGAAATTATGAATGAAAATTCAGGATAAATGAATGAATCAGGTGGGCACCAGTG